AGACGATACAGCCTCATGGACTATTTCATAATCCTAAAATTTTCTTTGTTTCCCCATAAGATACGGCGCCCCCCTCCAGGCGCCCCCCTCCAGCAGGAAGTAGTAAGAGAAGCTACGCCCAAATTCCCAAATTATATGTAATTTTACTTTGTTAAGGTTAAAACCTTCCTTTTTGAAAAAAAAAAGGGGAAGTGCTGTGGGATGTTCTGTATGGCAAATGTGTTGCTCATTAGTCAATAAATAAAACACTGATTGGCCATTGGCTAGGCAGGAAGTGTAGGCGGGACAAGGAGGAGAATAAAGCTGGGAAGTGGAAGGCTGAGTCAGAGAGACACTGCCAGCTGCCACGATGAGAAACAGCATGTGAAGATGCCGGTAAGCCACGAGCCACGTGGCAAGGTATAGATTAATAGAAATGGATTAATTTAAGCTGTAAGAACACTTAGCAAGAAGCCTGCCACGGCCATACAGTTTATAACCAATATAAGTCTCTGTGTTTACTTGGTCGGGTCTGAGCTGCTATGGGACTGGCAGGTGAGAGAGATTTGTCCTGACTGTGGGCCAGGCAGGAAAACTCTACCTACAACCACTGCCGGGCCCAGAGCTACAATTCTTTAAGCACCTCCCCAATACCTGGTCCTGCTCCATGTAGTTACAAGATATTACCCATAATCCTTGTGGCTACCCTGCCAGGAAATATACAGAGCCCCTTTTGCTGATAATTAAAGCAAGGCCAGAAGAGGCTAAGTACCTTCTCCCGGGTTCTAGACAGTATTAGCATTCAGTCTCCTGCCTCTGGATCAAAATCCTCTGTGCTTTCCCACCAGCTGCCTCTGGGGAGAGCTGGCCCCTAGGCATGCCCACAAGGCTAATATTAATACCCGAGAGATGGAGATAGCATTTTAGTCTGCACACCAGGGATGTGCCTTTTCACAGCAGAGGAGGGAGACGGAGCCACATGTCCTCAGGTCGTGGACAGGGCTGTGACTCAGCTTCCCTAAAAAGAATGTGATGCCCTTGACATGCTGTGGAGGACAGACTAATGATGGACTAATGGAGACAGTATAAAGGGCAGAACAGACACAAATCAAACTCAATGACTGCATCTGCACTCATTGCCAAAGACCAGCCTGGCACATAATTAGCCAATCCTACCCCAAGCAGGCTTTACAGCAGGTCTTTCAACCATAGTCATTTTCCACCAGGAGACCAAACTTCTGAGCGAACAAAAGACAGAGAAATATCCCCCATCTCTGCTCTAGTCAGCCCACACTGGTGTACACTTATCTGTCCCATTCCCATGGACAGCTTAGTTCTAGCATCCCAAGCTCCCCAGAGTACCTATGCAATTGTACCGTCTCCACCCACCTCATCCCCTGAGGAACCTCCTGTCCACAGCGCTGTAGACATTGGGATGTTGACTCTGGATTTAGAGTGCCAGGATTATAAAGCCTATTTCTGCCAGCTCCACCCTGTGTCATCTTGGGGACATCATATAACCTATCTGTGCTTCCATTTTATTCTCAGGGCTAATCACAGCCTCTACCTGATCATGGGCTGAATTGCTTTCTCCTAAAATTTGCAATGGTGAAACCCAACACCTAGGAGCTCAGAATTTGGAGGCAGGACTTTTAAGGGGGCGATGAAATCAAAGTGATACAATAAGGACACATCTATAATCCATTATGACAACTGTCCTCATGAGAAGAGGAGGGGACTCCAGGAGCTCCTTGGCTCTTGAGGGCTTTCCACTTTATAATCATTGACACCAAATGAATGTAAGTAGCTCCATAATTTAAGCAAGAAAAATAAAATCCAATGCTTGGAAGTCAAGAGCCTTCCACAGGGTCTTGTACAGGATCAGCATTGAGTCTCTGGCCTGTCTCGATCCAAATCCCCTGTGTTCTCCCATCAGCTACCTCTGGAGAAAGTCAGCATCTGTAGGAGCCTACAAGGCTGGTATTAGTGCCTGAAGGAGGGATAGGGACATGACTGACGCAAGCCTACCGCTCAGGGGTGAACCTCCTCCCAGCATCAACAAATGGCCATCAGCAAGCCCGGGAGAGATGCCTCATGGAAATCAGCCTAGAAGTACCTTGATCTTGAACTTTTAGCTCCAGAATTATGAGACAATAAAGTTCTGTTGTCTCAGCCGTGCCATCCATGGTATTTTGTTTCAACAGCCCTAGCAAACCAATGTACTGTCTCAGAGACCTGTCGCAGGGACCTGTCGCAGGGATCCAGCTAGACAAAGCACCCAAATCACTCGGCCAAGATCCTGACTCCCAATGGCCTCCTTTTGTTTTTCCGGCTTGTAAATAGGCAGCCACCTACATTCATCTGGCAGGTGCCAAGGCTGGCAGGTGCCAACGCTTGTAAAACGGAAGGAAAATCCTTGTAAGAGACAAGGAGTTCCAGGACTTAGAGTTCTCGCCTCCACCCCTAAACTATACTAGCATCTAAGCTATAAGCGGTGCCTCCCCCAAGCACTTGTGGATTCAACTGTCTTTCAGTAAATATTTAGGGACTAGAGCAAGGACTGGGGAAGACAGTTTCTGCCCTTGGGGAGTCTACGTAGCAAAGAAGGGATGAGATGTTGGTTTTGTAATAGCATTGGCTTTCCTGGTTTTCTTGTATTATTATTTGTTGCTGTTATATGTGTGAGAATTCACAGTCAGTGTTGGGGGCACACCTGCCATGGTGTGCATTTGGAAGCCAAAGGACAACTTTGTGGATCTGTCCTTTACCTCCTAAGCTGCCACACTGGTCATGGTTCTCCTTCATACTCAAATCAGAAGCAAACGAGTTACAAAAGGAGAAAAGCACTGCCTCGTGATTTCTAATGATTCCTGCCTGATAGCAAACCCCATTTATCGCACACTGTGTTTGCTGCATGCCACACCGTTCTCATGCTAACTCCTTACTGATCATAGCAGATCCGAGACTCTGCTATCGTTTCAGTTTTACAAGTGAGAATTTCCCCAGGCTCATCTGCCTTGCAAGAGTTAAAACTGGGATTCCAATCCAGGTATTTTTAGCATCAGAATCCAAACTTCTAGGAAGAGCATGTAGCTGTGACCCTATCAAAGGCAGCTCTTAGCTCTTAGACTGTGGCCTTTCCCATCTAGCTACCACAACCTGGGCTGTGGGCTCAGATGCCACGGGGTGAGGCTTGGACAGGTTGGATTTGTATCTTTTTATAAAACGATTTCATTCTACTATTGCAACTCAGAATTAGGGCCTAGAACTTGGCCAAATAGGAGGTGGTACAGCAAACATACAGTTCTATTGTCCTGCGGTGTTTTGTTATAGCAGCTCCATGTTTACCGGCTAAAGCATGCCCACCCAGCTAAGCACGCTCCCACAGAAGCCACTTCCTCGATGACCTACTTTGCCTCTGGCAACAGCTCTCACTTAGTGGATGTGGGACTTATTTTTCCCTCGGATCCCATGTGTTAGGAAACTCCAGGTGTAGCCCCCAAGTCTCTTACATATGCAGGAGCTGTCTGTCAGAAGAGCACTCAGCTACAAAAGCCAGTTCCAAACCAAGCAACCATTAAGGGAGGGAGTGGAAAGCTCATGAAAGGGTCCTTAGACCCTGTCCAAAGAGCAGAAGACCACAGGTAGGAGAGAAGCTTTATAGAGGAAGCTGTTGAGAACTGTGAAGAGGAGAAAGAGGAGGAAGAGAAGAGAGGACCTAGCTCTAACCTCACCCCTAGTAGGGAGCAGGTTCCATGGTTCCATGTGCCCCTGATGCCTGAGGCCCAGAGATGGGGTCTGATTTCAGTCTAGAAAGCCAGTAATGTGTTATGCTGATTAAGGAGCCTGGCTGACAAACAAAGCCCACTTTCTGCTTTGTCAGGCTTAAGTATTCCCAGTGGATGAGCTGTAAGCATCCTTCTCGAAGGCCAGTACAGGGTCATCCTATGGCCTGTGGAAGAAGGCAGACCACAGGGCATGGTCCAGGAAGAAGCAGGCACAGCCAGAGTGGAAGTCACTGTCATTGAGGAGCCTGCAAGGAGTGTCTCCTGAGAAACAGGGTTACCAGTGAAGGAGAATGCACCAGAGTCCATTCAGGCTTAGCGCTCACAGCCCGGGCTAGATGGCAGCCATAACAGGCACGATCACTTGATTCTTTACCTCCGTTTACCTCTTCTTCTGCCCACCTCCACTCTCTCCTGGTGACAGGAGATGGAGACCTCAGTTGGCAATAAGAGAAGCAGAAAGCAAAACTAGAAAAAGAGAAAGCCACCCCATGTATTCCCAGGGAGGGTTCTAGTCTGCAGCAGCTCTGTCTGCCATTCATTATTCCCGATCTGTAAACTCGGGATTAGAGGGCATCCTTTGCACAATAACCCCTTTTTCATTCAGCTCAAAGGTTTTACCTTTGAAGAAAAATCAACTTTCCACTAAAGCCAGACCCTCTCTGGTCTGGTTTTAATTTAATTTCAATTTATTTGGATTAACAAAGTTTCATGTATCTCCATCTTTTCACCCCACCCTGAAGAATAAGCTTTGCCAGCAGTCAGTGTCTCACTCTCCCTCTGTCCCCTCAGCAGGACCTGAGCACCAGGCACAAAGATTTGATGACTAATGCAACACCTTTTAGGAACACGCCACTGCACAAAGCAAGCTTCAGCTATAAGCAATATGAACCCACTGCGCTTTCAGATGGCCCCAGCTGAACAAACTTCCAAATCATCCCCAGCCTTTTCTCTCCCTGCGTTTTCAAGCCGTAGGTGGCACAAATAAAAATACCACCTGGCATTTGTATAGCACTCGACAGCTTCAAAGCCACTCTCAAAACCACCCCTACGCAGCCCCAGACCATTCTCAACCAACCCGTGTCTACCCACACCTTTACTCTTCCTGGTGGCCAGCCCCGTGCCAGCCACCGCGGGGCAGGGCCACATGCTCCCCCTGGGGAGTCCACGTGTTGTGTGAAGAGTTTCCTCATAAAGAGTCAGACGGCCAGAAATGTGGGCAGAGAGCGAAGGGCAGCTTGTTCAGGTTTTGTTTATTATGTTCTCACAGCCTGTGTATAGTAAAGGTGAATGTATTCCACTTTACACAGTAATGAAACAACTCAGTTGCGGACTCCGTCAGCCAAGCGGTTTATATGGCAGGTGAGCTGCTATAAATCTGTTGTGCTCCGTGAGTGACCAGCTAAGGCTACCGTGGTCAGTGCACATGGCCGAGGGGAGGGAGCCGAGGGGTTAATTAGTTCAAGAAATGGACAGTTTATTGACAGGACCCTAAACCCAAAACCTAGTGAGGCCCATAGTCCCATCCTGGTGTCTCCCATTGTGGCGCACAGCATCTTGTAGACTCCTTGAGAAGCCACAGGGACAGAAAGCCATCTCTCCTTTTGGCTTCTCCCTCCTCAGTCTCATGCCAAGTGATATGGTGGCACAGGCTTCCGGTGCCAGGCGTGAAGACAGTACCACCCCTCTTGTTTTAACTGAAGGGATAGGGATTTAAGGAGAGTGGACCGTTGGTCAGTTGAAGACAAGGGCGGGAAATCGCAGTTCCTGTGCTGGGTCAGCAGAGTTCTGGGGTTGTTCTTGCTAGAAGACCATCCTGCCTGTGGATCTGCACCTCTTTGGCCCTTCCCTCTGGGACACGGAGATCTAACTACCATGCTGGCAGCTGGGGGCTCTCCTGCCCTGCCCCTTCCTCCTCAGGCTCCACCTGGCCACCCTCCCCCAGCTCTCAGGCCTTTCCCCTCACAGCAGAGAGAGTGTCTCTATTATCCAGGGCTTGCGGCCCTGTCCAGGACAAGCACCTGGGCAGAGCATTCGCTTTTTCCCCAGCTTTGGTTTCTCCGAGTGGCGCATCCTGGGGAAAGCACCCGAAATAGAGCCAACCAGCAGCTTCCCAGCCCAAAGAGAAAACGGTGAGAACTTGAAGCAGGGAAAACACACCTCACTGTGGTCTTGGAAAAGCACCCCCAGATTTGGTCCTCCCCAGGAAGGGACACCCTCCACCGAGAAATTTGGGAGCCATTGTGTGACAATCATCACTACCAAGACACTCTTCACTCACTACCTACATTCCAGCTACCCTATGGCATGGCCTTGGGTTCAGAGGCACAGCCTGACACAAAATGGCCAAACACAAGAGTCTATGAAAACAAACAGGGTTAGAGCTCACGAGGCAAGCCTGGAGGAAGCGCGGTGGAAATGGCAGGAAAAGCATGGCAAAACAGCTCCCAATCAAGTGCCCCTTTATGCTCCCCGCCCATTGGCATACATGCTACCAGCTAGTGCATGTAGCTTGAACCCAAACACAACCTCTAAGGAGTAAGTCAGACCGAGAGGCACAAAGCAACCCAACACCCCCCCCACATACACACACGTCAAGAGTCAGCCGCAGAGGAGGCAAGGTGTCCTGGTGATTGCGCTTTTTGAATTCAGGCAGGCTGTTGTAGCTTCTCCTCAGTGCTGTGTTTTACCCTCAGTTCTGCTCCTCTTCCTTAGGCGGCTGCTGCTTCCTGACCACATCTGCACATTGGAACCACCAGTGGGATGGTAAAAACTACCGCTACCTGGCTCCCACCAAACTTCTCAGATTTAACTACTCTAAGCCTAGTGAGCGGTGAGATTGAGAACCTCTGGCTTGGGCCATCTTTATCTAATGCCCACAGGCCATTACATACCCAGGAGCTTTGGTTTTTGTTTTGTTTTCCTTTTATGTTGTTTATGGGTCCCTTCTCTAAATCTATAGGATCAGCATCTCTGAGTGTGGGAATTAGCACTTGTAAGGGGCTTCCAAGGTGATCCCTATCATTCACGCTCATGTTTAATAATAATACTGCCTCCGAGAATTACTCCCCATCCATCCAGAGTGCCCGAGTTGTCAATGACTGAGATCTCCTTAGGCCAGAAGAACAACGCAAACCACAAACCAGAACCAAACTAAGGGAACTCAGTGGGACCAACCAGTACGCCACTCAGGGATGGGAAGCCACAGCACCGTCCTGCTGCCGGGGCTTGCCTGAGTTCCGGACCAGTCGTCAGCACACTCCGTGTGACTGGAGCAAAGGAAGACACTAGATGGAAGTGGCATCTGAGATGACAAGCTGGGGACATGGGTGACGCTTGTAGAGGAGGAAATGAGGGGAGGGGACCGGGAGACATGGAAGCTCAGAGATGAGGTATGCTTGGATATTGCTCTAGATGTTGTAAACATTTCTCTGTCTCATCACAGACCAAAATCTGGGCGAGCATGACAAAAAGTGCCTAAGAGGAGGTATCAGAGCAAGAAGCTCTGCCTTCTGTGAGAAGCAGGGGAGATAGGGTGTGTGTGGAAAGCCAACCACATGGGAAGATCATGTCTGCAGTGTACTACCCAAGACTCACAATTCACACACACACACACACACACACACACACACACACACACACACACACGAGATGCTCCATGGGAGTACCATAAATAGAACTATCTGCTACTCTCCACAGACAAACTCACGTGCCCCTGTCTATCTAGCTCCAAAATTCAGGGTACTCAGACTTGGTCCTTTGAACCTCCCATGTGTCACCCGGGTGTCAGGACATCACCATCGGCAGCCTTCCTTCTACCAATAGTTGGCAGGAACTCTGGGCCCCCGAATGAGGGCACCACACAATGAGTGTGGAGCCTTTTTGCATTGGGATAGCAGAAGTGGTGAGAAAGCCCCTCCCAGGACATCCCCATCACTGCAGGTCCAACTCATACGCACCTCATATTGGACAGCAGCATCGGCGTCAGATGCACATTTCATATGTAAACAATGTTTAAAATACCCTGTTAGAGAATTTAATCATTACATTAATTCTGGCAGCTTTAGCTAAGAATATTTTTGTACCAGGGTGGGGCAAGCTATCTGATCTAACTAGGAATACCACTTGAAGCTTCAGAGTTCTTACTAACTGTGACTGCCACGGATCTCTTCGGTGTGAGGCCTAGGAAATAGGTTTTGCTTTTGTTTTGTTTTGTTTTTTTTCTCTCCTGGGGGTTCACACACAGACACCAACATCCACTCACAGACTACGCTATACCCCTAGGAGGGCAGCTGGCACTAACACGATAGGACTCAAGGGCCTTCTTAGCCTTGTCTGAATTCAACCAAGGAAGGAACCGATTCTCTGAGACCAGAATTCAAACCCTAGGATATCTCAGAAGGGCTAGGATCCCACAAAAGAAAGTGTCAGCCCAGCCTTCCAACACCTACTTTCCAGGGCAGCCCGACCACAGACTGTTTCATTCACTCGAGCTGAAAAGTCTGTGGCTCTTCGATGAGCCCAAGTGGACAAGTGGTGAACTATCCCAGCAGTGCCTCCACCATAGTCCCTGTGATTCAGGTCACCCAGAGACCAGCAGCTCCCAGGCTCATCTTCCATATTCTGGTCTCTCTGCTGAAGATTCATCTCCCTGTCACTGTAGGAGATGGCAGGGTCAGATTTCTCCTGGATAACTGCAGAGTTTCCAAGCTGCTCATGCCTCCTCCAAGAGAGTGTATCCTGGTACATTTCCAAGATACCCCAGGGTACCACACAAGCATTGTAGGAAAGTGTCCACAGCCTGGTATTCACAGTGATCCTCCCAGTTCATGTTCAGTCTCAAAAACCAGAGACCAAGAAGGCGGCTGGCTATCTCTCAGTAGCCAAGAGTGGACCCTTGCTAAGAAAGTATGCCCAGGAAGCAAGCTGCAGTGAGAATTTCAGCCTGAGGTCCCATTCTCCCCCACCATAGTGACAGGGCCTGTATGGAAGGAGGGATAGGAAAGCATCAGGCACTAGGAAAGCTGTCATGCTATGGGGATTTACCTCCCTTTGCCAAACTGTCTTTCATCCTAAGAGCCCAGGGATGTGTGATGCCATGGGGAGGTGAGGACACAGGACACAGTAGGTGATGGACAGGTTATATGGAGCCTCATTGCACACAAGTCCACTGATGCTACCTTCCCAGGTCACCCCGCTTCTAGAGACGTTCTTGATCAACTGAGGAAGATTCACAGTCTCTATCTTTCAAAAGGACAGCTCCACTTAGAAGTCATGAGAGAACTCTCCCAAGACCCTTTCTGGAGTTGCAAGTGTAAGGAAGTTCATTGAATTCCTTAGGCTAAGAAGGGACCCCAGACTCTCATATTGGTCCTGTAGAAACAGAAGACACAGCCAACTCCAAGGAATATGTCCTTCGTCAGAGGTCGCCTGCCAACCTAGGAATCTGAAATTCCAAAAAGACCTCTCTTCTAAATCGTGAGGTCCGGGTACTCAGGTTGGGCCACTGGTTTGTGACAGCGAATCCCTTAAGTGAGAACCTGAGTCTTCTCGCTACTCCCGCGTTGGGTAAAGGACAAGGTGAAGATCAGGGATCCTACTGAAGAGGGTGTGGTGTGGGGGTGATGGGAACTGCACTTGCGTTATTTACAAATAGCCCGGCACAGTGAATCTGCCTTCTCAGCGGAGACGATGGAAGGCATATGAAGGGCCAGTTACCGGCCCACCCAGAGAAGGATATCAGCAGCAGTGCTACCTCTAACCAAAACATAAATCTGGGGAAATAGAAGAGAGCCCCAGCTCCAGCAGCTGGGTCCGACTTTGGAACAGCCCTCCATTCCTTCGTCACCCCCGCTCTCCCACCCCAAACCCCAGCGCCTTTCAACACCTATGGCATTTCACGTTAGAATATGGTCTTGGCAGCAAGGAGCAGGGAAAGCCGGTGACTTCCGAGAGTCTCCATCCAAGGTCTAACTGAGCCTCCTCTGGCTTTGGGACAGCAGATCTAAGTACATTTTGGACCTCAGGAACCTGGGGTAAGAGTCTTTCTCCATGAGGCTGTGCACCTTCCCCTGAGCTTGGTCAAAACAAGTCAGGGACGGCTCCTGCACATTCTTCCTCGTAGCTTCTCGGGTCTGGAAATCGATATTCACCTAGAGAGACAAACAGAGAGGAAGGTCACAGGCCCTTGGAGGCCAAGGCACCCACTGGACAGTGGGCCCAAGCTACAGAACAACCACCAACGGCAGTATCTCACATCTTCAGGGTCAGGGATGCTCCTCAAACTGCTTTTTATAGGGTTCATTCCTTGGGATTCCAGCAGGAAGGCTGTGGAGTCTGAAGTCCAGATAGTCTTAAGTTGTAAATAAGGTGAGTGAAGAAAAGAGAGACCAGCTGGGTTTGGTGGCGCACGACTTTAATCCCAGCATTCAGGAGGCAGAGGCAGGTGGATCTCTGTGGGTTCAAGGCCAGCCTTGTCTACATAGTGAGTTCCAGGACAGCCAGCATCATGTAAAGAGACCATGTCTCAATAATAGTAATAATAATAATAATAATAATAATAATAATAGAAAAGAAAGAGAGAGAGAGAAGGGTAGAAAAGAGAGACTATGAAGCTTGTCTAAAATATGTGGATTTAGTACCAGAACCGTGACAAGAATTCTCAAGTCAACAAATCCTAATCAAGAATCTTCATACCACACTAAGGTGAGTCTCAAGCCAGTTGTTAATGAAGGTTCCCCTAAGCTTTCTCTCTCGTTCTTTCTTAACCACCAAGGCCAACAGATGCCCAGTATAGACAGACCCTGGTAAACATACATTTCTCTGTATGTCACCATTAGGGGCCAATAGCACTCTACCCAGCTTGTAAAGATCTCACACCCCAAGTCAAAGTTTCACCTCAATATAGATAGCAAACTGTCCATCAGTTAAACTGTCTGGAGAGACATGCTGGATTAAAACTCAGAACAGCTAGACATAGTTATAATACAGCAATGAAAGTGACTATAAATATTCATTTATGAGCAACGGCAAACACTCAGTAGGACTTTACCTCTAACACATAGAGCAGCCTTGAGAGGTGAGTGGCATTATCCTTTCTTACACTGGGGAAACTGAGGCTCAGAGAGGCTGAATACATTAAAGATGGTCACACACAGTGGCAGAACTGAGACTGCAGACAAAATCCTTTAAAAGAGGGTCCTTATTCCATTAAGTCATGCTGCCCTTGAGAGCTTTTTATTGTGTGTTTGTGTGTCTAATGGTGTGTGTGTGTGTGTGTGTGTGTGTGCGCGCACGCGGGCGTGCTCACTGGTCACAGGACAATTTGCAGGAGTCATGTCCCTCCTTCTATCATGTGGGTTCTAGAGGTCACACTCCGGTCATCAGGCTTGGCAGCAGGTGCCTTCACTCGGTGAATCACTCCAGCCACCCCTGTGCCACTTTTAACAGGAAAACAGACACGGGCTCCCGGGAATTCACTCTTGTGAAATCACCGGGGGGGGGGGGGGGGGGGGGGGGGGGGGGGGGGGGGGACACGACACGACAGCCTGCCTAACACGTGTCGGGCAGACAGCAAAAACACTCCTACGGTGGCTCCTTTCATGACAACCCTGATCTTCCGCTCCTCAAAAGCTACCGCTTTCTCCTCAGGATCCACCTGAGTTGGGAGGCCCGTGGGGGCAGGAGGAAATCCCGTGGGCTTGGCTCAGATGCCCTCCAAGCCCTCAGGAGACAGTGGCCGTGACCAACGCACCTCCCGCGGAGCCTGCACATCCACAAACTCCTCGAAGATCCTGTGGGCCTTGGAGACCAGCTTTGCCGTCGACCTGGTCTTCTTGAACTCCTCGCAGGCCAGCCAGAACTCCAGGTTCTCCTCGCTGAACTCCGTCTTCAGGAAGGCACGGAAGGCCGCCACCCCATCTACAGGTGTGGAAAGAGGTGGGGGAAAAAAGATGGAAAAAGCAGCTTAAGTCCGAAGACTGAAGATGAAGGAGCAACCGTACTATTATGATGGTGTCCTCATTGTCCAAGCCTGCGGCTCACACACACACACCCCTCGATGACACACAGCTACGCTCAGAGCAAGCCAGGCTTCTTGTCCAAGGACCAGTGTGAAGTATCAGAGAGAGATGTTTAAAATCCCGTAGGAATGGCGGCAGTGGGCAAGCTTGGTCACTTCCGATAAACCCTGCCTGTCCATTGATGCCGCAGGTCTGCCGGTGAGCCCGAATCGCTCATCAGGCTAAGGTCATAGGCACTTTACATTCTCTGCCCTAAGCCGAGTCCACACCGGAGAGAAGACATGGGCAGTTGTAAGACAAACTGGACAGGAACACAAATGTCTCAGAGCCAACCCTTTACCACGATCAGAAACACATCCAACAGAAATTCAGTCCGTAATACAGTCTGCTACGTGGACAGATGTCTCTTTTAGGAAACCTCTGAGGATGTGTATTCGGTGTTCTAGTCTATTCATTTTTATGTTGAAATCTGCCTGTCAAATTAGATTTTAGAAAAAGTTTTTAAGATTACGTTTATTTTATTTTATTTTATGTGTGTGTAGGTCAAAGGACAACTTGCAGGAGACAGTTTTCTCCTTTCCCATGTGGGTCCTGGAGATGGTCCTCTGGCCATCAAGCTTTGTAACGGGTGCATTTGCCTGCTAAACCATCCCGCTGACCCAGATTAGATGCTTTAATTGAGGTTGATTATAATTTTCCTGCCAATTTATCTAATGGCTAAGGCAGCCTTTCCTCTTACTAATCAATGTCATCTGTACTGCCAAGCAATGTTTCCAGTCCACACAGATAAGCGGGGGAGGGGGAAAAAACAGCTATTTAAAGTCTGTACTTCCAGTAGCAATTTTATTTGAAAAAGTTTTTAATCAACTGTCTCAACTCTTGGCCCGCTCTCCTCTGTCGGGATGATAATGGCAGCTTTCTAGAAAGGGTTCTCAAAGTGAAGAGCACCCTAGAACAAGGTGCTAAGCTGGGTAAGAAAATGACTCAATGACCATTTTTATTTCTTTTGTAAAGTTCGTGTTACCATTTTTGGTACTGGGCATTAAACCCAGTCCTCTCGTATACCATGCCAGTGCTCTGCCCCTGAGGTATGGGGCATCTCTCCTCCTTTCTATTTTGTCGATGGCCTTTGATTCACTCCATAGCCCAAGCAGGGCTCAAACTTGTAAACGTCTTGCCTCAGCCTCCTGGGTGAGGCTTGGCTGAGATGACAGGCTTGCACAGCTAACCCTAGCTCAACAAACCCCCTCTCGTGTGTGTGTGTGTGTGTGTGTGTGTGTGTGTGTGTGAGTGTGTGTGTGAGAGTGTGTGAGTGTGTGTGTGTGTGTGTGCTGCATACACCTGAGTGTGCATGTGTACACACCGTGAATGGGCATGCTGGGACCGGAACAGGAGGCTGGGTGTCTTGAGAGACGGTCTCTCACTGAGGCTGAAGCTGGTTTCTCCTAAGCTGATTCCTAAGGCCAGCAAGCCCTCAGGAGTCAACTGTCTTTCCTCACCAATTCTGAGGCTACAGGCATGTCCAGTCGGGCCAGGCCTGTAACATGAGTGCTGGGGATTTGAACTCAGGTCATCACCCTTGCAAAGAAAGCAGTCTTACCCACTAAGCTATCTCCCAGGCCCCAGTACTTTTTAATTCTACGTCATCGATGACATGGGCATCTGATAATCACTGGCATATGCCCAGAGAGGACACTAGCCAAGACGACTCAGTGGATTGGTGGTGCCGTGTGATTTTAAACATTTATTTTTGAATGTTTTATTAATTATTATTGTTATTACTATTATGTGTGTTTGTACAATGTGGGGGGGTAATGTGTAATGTGTCATGTGGTAGTCAGAGGACAACTTTGTGGAGTTAGCTTTCTTATCCACTTTTATGTGGGTGGTGGGGCTTGAACTCAGGTCATTAGGTCTGCACAACAAGCGCCCTTACCCACTGAGCCGTCTTCCTGGCCCTAAAATGTTTATTCTAAAACATTTTTTTTTCTCCTGATAAAAAAACCATTGTACAAATTTGTCTTCTTTTGCTTATTTATATTTATTCATTTAGACCGAGACTTACTATGTTGTAGCCTAGACTTTCCTCAAACTTGCCATCCTCCTGAGGCCCCTGAGTTCTGGGGTTACCACCACACCTTACCCAAAGTAGGTATTTCAATGTCCACACTTGCTGTGGGATGGTCTGTATGTCAAATGTGTTGCTGATTGGTCAATGAATAAAGCACTGATTGGCCCGTGGCCAGGCAGGAAGTGTAGGCGGGACAAGGAGGAGAATAGAGCTGGGAAGTGGAAGGCTGAGTCGGGGAGACACTGCCAGCCTCCATCAGGACAAGGAAGATGTAAAGTACCGGTAAGCCACAAGCCACGTGGCAAGGTATAGATAAATGGAAATGGATTAATTTAAGCTGTAAGAACAGTTAACAAGAAGCCTGCCACAGCCATACAGTTTGTAACCAATATAAGTCTCTGTGTTTACTTGATCGGGTTTGAGCGGCTTGGGACTGGCGGGTGAGAGAGATTTGTCCTGACTGTGGGCCAGGCAGGAAAACTCTAGCAACACACACTAGAACAGCAGTCATAAAGGCTACAACCTTTTACGGCAAGAGCCAGGGACTTGAGAAAGAAAAGCATTTTCATGGGGCTCCCAGAGCTAAGCTTTGAATCACAGATCTAAGCGTGGAGGACTGCCTTAAAGTGTGTATAAGCCAAGTAAGATGGTGTTGTGATTTATCATCCCATCCTGGAGGTTTCTGCACTGAAGGGACGCCATTGTTCACTGCATGGGATGACTGACTTAAGTCAGCACCAGAGGCAAGGCCCGGGACATACCCAGTAGAGAAAGCAGAATATCATACAAGGCTCCTTCACCCTGGGCAGGATGGAGCTAAAAGTCTTTCTGTGCCAGGGGAGGAAGAAGAGAGTGATATGATTTAGGTTCCAGAGAGAGAGAGATGTTCTGGGTACCTTCCATGACCACTCTTACAGAGGTCAACCCTCTACAAGAAAACAATAGAAACACAGCAAGCTCGGAATCCAAGAGATGAAATGGTGAGTCGCAATGTTCAGGCCTGAGAATCACTTACACTGTTTGATACGGGTTTTGGACTCGTGGACTGCACAGTTCTGTTCAAGATGCCACCAGTGGTACAGGCTACAGGCAAAAGTTGGATGGGATACTGTGGCGGACCAGCCCCCACATTCATTTACCCCAGGGACTCTTGAGGAATGAGGGATAAGAGACTTAGTTAGAAATAGAGAGGAGAGAAACAGAGAGAAACACAGGATAGACTCGGGTGGGCCTGGATCCTTATTCACCGGCCCAGAACTTTATTCCTAAGGTCTATTTATAACAACGCCAAGGGGCGGAGCAAAAGACCTCCCCCTTCCCGGTTACAGTCAAGTGTAGACCCTCACAAACACCTGGTACCCAGGCCCGTGGTCCAATCAACCTCTTATGCAGTCCTGCTGGGTACAGCCACTAGGAAACCTAGTAGGCTCCAACAAGATACATCAGAGAACAAATCATAAAATTACTGCCCATTAGCACCCTGCAGATGCTCTCTTTGGGACCCCTTCCCACATTCTATACCCTCAAAGTTCCCCATGGAGGAGACATGGACATTTCCACATGCCCCGGAGTAAACTCAGATTTGGTTACAAGCATGCACTCCAGGAGACACTGTTACAGATGGTCCTCTGTGGTGGAAGCTACAAGCAGAGGTTAGATGGGGAGACAGCATCAGTCACCCTCAGATCCCAGAAGGGGCTGGATCAGCAAGGGAGGACTCTGAGCAGTCGCCCACAGTAGACACAGGAAGACCCAAGGACCACAGAGTCTCCCCACACACCCCCATCTTCTTTCCCTGAAGGGGTTATTTTTCTTAATAAAATAATTTTAACTGAGCATAAAAACATAGAAACTATACACAATAATGAGATAATATCTGTTCTATATATTGTATAATATTTAAATCGAACATTTAAATACTTACCTTTTCTTGGTGGTAAAAGTTTTCTGAATACAACACCTTTGTTCTGGTTTGGTTTAGAGACAGTCTCACTTTTTAGCCCAGGCTGACCTGGAACCCACTATGTCCCCATACCAACCTCAAATTCATAGCAATCCTCCTGCCTCAGCTTCGAAAGTGCTGGGATTACAGGCATCATGTCTGGCTTGTATAATAAACGGTAATATACAATCACCCTACTGTGCACTTGCACCGCGGAACTTCTCACTCCTTTGGAACTACACCTTTCGACCAACCCTTCCAGGGCCCTCTCTCCCTCCCTTCCCCCCTGTTCTTCACAGTCCCCACGTGCCACTCGAAACCTCAACACGATGTACTCTTAGATGTCACAGATGGGCGTGTGGTATTTGTCTTATCTTCACACACTCTCCTCTGCAATCAGAGAGAGGGCTGAGAAAGGGAACATGGATGACTCCAACTGTGCCTTTATCTAAGTGGTTCTCTGCCTTCCTAATGCTGCGACCCTTTTATACAGTTCCTCATGTTGTAGTGACCCCCAACCATAACATTATTTTTGTTGCTGCTTCATAATTACAATCTTGCTACTGTTATGAATCATAACATGTAAATGTCTGTGTTTTCCGGTGGTCTTAGGTAATCCCTGTGAAAGGGTCCTTTGACCCTGAAGGGGTCATGACCCACAGGTTGAGAATCACTGATTTAGAAGAACTCAGAGGAGCTTGTGGCTGTTTGAAGGCCAGAGGTAGCTAGATTCCTTGAATGGGAGAGTTCAAGTTTGCTGTTTTGTTTTCCTTTAAACAAAAACAGATGCTTAAGAACCCAGGAAATGTAGTCGCAGATAAAGAATATGACATTCCTCTTTCCCCCTGGTATTGGTCATCAGCTCTGTTAAGGAAAGTCTACGTGG